TGAAGGCACAGAAATCCACTTAGAATCCCATTCCCAATGTGTCCCAACAGTCTCCAGAATATCAGAGGATCATAGGCTGTTCCTTCATTACTGAGAGAGAGAGAGAGAGACCTGAGTTAAACCTGAGTGTCACTGCATCTCAGGCGAGGGTTAAGGTTGAATCGACACCATTAGTATCACTCAGTGTCTGAAACCAATCATTGAACTAACTGCGCTAACCAACCAAATGTCACTCGTGATGCTCAGAAGCTAGAAACTAGTGTGTGCGCTGATCGATATTTTTAAATTGAGGTCCCATGATATTTTTGGGACCCTGGTGCTATTTTCTGATGACTGGAAGGAGAATTTGAAGGGGTGCTCACTTAAAGTCATTTAGATGGTTAACATCGCGGTGCTTTTTTTCAGTCAGAAATCACACGACACCAAGTTAGTAGCTCGCCAAGAGATTTCAGAGATTTGACGTCTTTGTCTTACTCTGACTAAGTTGTTTTTGCTTTTTATTTAGTCTGGATGGAGGCACAACTGGATGAAAGAAAACCATATCTGGGTTAGTTGGAAGACGGTGAGTAAGGAGCGATGCTTGGAGGTGGTCTTATCTAGCACAAGGGTCTCTGGCCAAAGGTGCTTCATACACATTTGGAGAAGCAATAAGTACAACAGGCCCGTAATCTGATGGATTATGGAACCATCTTTATCGATGGTCTTGTTAATAACTTTACCCCCTGTATTTTTTCATCTCAGGCTGCTATTTGGTGATAATACCCACTTCTTCCAGGGTGTGGCTGCATTGAGCAGAACACCAATTCCTCTTGAATGTAGGCAATCGGTTTGGTCCAACTCATCCATGCTGGCCATGTATCCCAAACTAAACTAGTTCCATTCACCTCCATCGGCCCATAACCCTCTAAACCTTTCCTATCCATGTACCTGACCAAATGTCTTTTAAATGTTGTAATCGTACCAGCCTCCACCACTTCCTCTCGCGGCCCATTCCATACATGCACCACTCTCTGTGTGAAAAAGTTGCCCCTCAGGTCCTTTTAAATCCTTCCCCTCTCATCTTACACCTATGCCCTCTAGTTTTGGACTCCCTTATTTTTTGTAAAGGACCTTTGCTATTCACCCTATCTATGGCCCTCATGATTTTATAAACCTCTATAAGGTCATCCCTCAACCTCTGGCATGATTTTGTTATAGATGATTGAACACACATCTCTCGATGCGGAAGTCCCCAGCCTGTAGTGCCTTTCTTCTGCACTCCCTACCAGCTACTCCTCCCATTATCTTCATCCCATTTTTGCAAAGTTGCTGCTGCTCAGACTGAGGACTGAGAGACGTTTATTGCCAATGATTCTTAGCTGCTTGAACCCAAGAAGGCACAGCTGCAGGTGGCAGCACTTTGACCTCTGCCAGGACAATCTGCCCCCAGCTGGCTTTCTGGTATCCCCTATTGGGTATTGATTACAGGGACGGTGCAGGGTCAAACACGCAGGCGTCCTGAGAATGAGCAATGTGTATGTCCCACTCCTGCTATGCCAATGGCTGCTCCCAAGGGGACTGGGCTCAACATCGTCACCTATCCGTGGTAAGTCATAGTACAGAAGATGAACACCTCTTGGAAGCCCCTAACCACGTGTCACATCAATGCCTCCAAAATTGGCATCAGCCCTTGCAATGTTTATCTCTCCAAATGTGGAACACTCCAACGTCTGCAAAGACAGCCACTTGAGAGTTTGCACAGATACTGCGAAGCACCCAAACACATAATGATGCTGTAAGGGTGCGAGAGCACAATCTCTGGAGGTGGCCATTCTATATGTCCTGCCCTGGAGGTGCAATCCCTTGTCAAGGACCTTCAAAATCTCTTCCAACTGTTTGAATGATGCCAGCAGTCAATGCAGAACCAAGAGAGTGCCTCACACTTCAGCAAGGTCTCTCTCAGACAGATCCTGCCACTATGATCAATCTTTGTGCTGTAGTGCTCAAGGCATCATCTTGTACTGATCACTCTAGTTCACTCGCTCATGTCAATCTCTGTGCTGTTGCTTGGGTGGAATGAGTGCATGACGGTGCGTGCTAAGGATGATTATCTTCCTCTGGGGTACCTTCTTCCTGGGTTCTGGCTGCTGAGGATGCCTAGAGGAAAGAGAAAAACGACAATATTTAGGTTAGCATTCAGAAACCACACAGTTGCAGAAGACATGGATATTCACAATGTAAGTTAATGTGTTGAAACTGATTCAATACTGCACGCACTTTTCTAAGGCTCCATTAAGAGAGGCAAGTCATAACAGAGGCCCTGTTCACCAAAATTCCTGGCATCAAAATGCCCTGGCACACACTCTGTCAGGGCCAAAGATATCAATAAATTACTGCTACAGGATTATGTAATCAATTGGTCCTACTCTAATCTTTCTCCTAAAACTTCTTCTTTTCTTCTGCAGAGAGAGAGAGGGAGAGAGGTAGTGAGAGGTCAGTGAGAAAGAGACCGCAGGGGTGAGGAATAAGAGGTGAGCAGAATGATGTGTAGCTGCATAGGGTGTAAGTTTTCAGATTGTGAAGTGGGGAAGGATTTATAGTTGGAGCTCGGGATTGTGGGTTAGCTAGGGAGGGGACGGTGTTATTCACTGTTGGTTCAAATGAAGCAAGGGTGATGTGAGTGTCTGTAAATAATGAGAGAGCATATTGCTCGGTTGGCTATAGATGGGAGTCAAGTAGCTGTCTATAGAGAGAAAGACAGAGAGAGACCCATGGAATGTCACACCTATGGATGCAATGGGAAGTTCCAACCCATCAAAGCGGGGAAAGGTCAAGTCACAACAGACTGGACTGTGATTTCTTGTGATTAAAAAGATAGTAGAGGTGATGACAACCTGCTGATCAACAGCAAGCCACCCGTGTGGATTATGTCCCAACTGCAGAGATATTTTGTATTTTTCTCTTTGAACAGGCGACACGGTGGCTCAATAATTAGCACTACTGCCTCACAGCGGCAGGGACCCGGGTTCAATCCCACCCTTGGGCAACTGTCTGTGTGGAGTTTGCACATTGTCCCCGTGTCTGCGTGGGTTTCCTCCGGGTGCTCTGGTTTCCTCCCACAGTCCAAAGATGTGCAGGCTAGGGTGGATTGGCCATGCTAAATTGCCTGTAGTGTTCAGGGGTGTGTAGATTAGAGGGATGGGTCTGGGTGGGATGCTGTGAGGGTCGGTGTGGCCTTGTTGGGCCGAAGGGCCTGTTTCTACACTGTAGGGATTCTATGAAGAATACACAAGGACGGGGGTTAAAAAGCTAGTTTCAATTTTACTGGAGTGCACTAGTGGGACTGAATGGTCTTGTATGTATCAGCTTGGGTTTGAGAGCGTTAGCATGATGTGAATGCCACAGTTAGAGAACTATCCCCTAGTCACCCTGGTGTTGAGTCAAAGAGACTCTGTTTCACCCTGAATGCTGGAATTCTGTCACGTTTGAAAGGAATCAGGATGAGAGAATCTCAACCAACCTAAAAATAAAAATCCTGAAATTGACTGTTCAACTATCAATCTTATCAGTGCATCACCACCATTCTTCGTGAACAATTCAGAGATGTTTGCATATTTTTTAAAACTTTTACCTTTTTGGACTCACCTCCTATTTCTAATCTGTAATGTGTTACCAATTCTTGTCACACTGAGTAATTAATAAACTCACTCTTCTTGTTGTTTTAAAAAAAGCCCAGTTAAATCGGGTCCTTTTAAACATAAGGTCGTTTGGGTCTGGAAGGAACACAAGAGAAGGGATGTGATTGTAAGTTAACCTTGTTGCAACCAACTGATTGGGGGGGGCACGGGGGTGTGAATAAAGAAGGGGAGTCAGTTTGTACCCTCGTCACACAGGAATTTAAGGTTTTGTGGAATCCATCAGGCACCATAACAAATTGGGAAACCTCAGGTGGGTGTAACAGCTGGATAGTGAATAATGTGATAACAAGGAGGCGAATTATTACAATTGATAGGAGAAGAGTGTGAAGGACTGCTGCCAAGTGATATGGAGAGCGCAGGGAATAAATAAAGAGTAATACTCACTCTTGTCCCTCCTGTACTGATGTACTTCCTCCAGATCCTGGGAATGACAATCTTAGAACACGTGATCACCGACTTCTCTCCTTGCAGTGTTTGGCAACATTCCTGGTATAGCTGGGGGACTTTTTCTTGGACACATATGTCCACAGAGGCTTCTGAGGACCCGAACCAGAGACGCAGTTCAAAGAAAGACCTTTCTCCAGCATCTTGGAAATGAAATTAGCCACAAGGGAAGAAAACTCTCTTTGAGAGGCTCATTCCTGATTTAAATAGACTGCTGGTTACTTTGTGGGAACTGTCTCCCCGGAAGTGGATGTATTCCTGATCAAGTCAGTTCAATGGGAAACTTGGCAAACACATTGTCGAGAGGTCTCAGAGTTAAAATATCCTGGGCCTAAGTTTGGTTGCAGATCAAACCACCCAGTGCTGGAAATAGAATTGGGAACATAAAAATATTGTTGGAATGTTTGCCCGAAGCATTTGACTGCAGCAAGATTTGTTTCAGTATCCCCAGTGCTAGTTTCATACTGGGCTGGGTCTGTTCTCGCAACAACATTATTTCCAAAATGCACTCGTGTAGACAGCAGTTCTGTATAATCAATTTTAAAATTATTATAACTTTTAAATATAATTAAAAACAAATATTTTCTAATAAAATTTTAAAAAATGTTTCAGCCAGCTGCAAGTAAATGTTTAGTGTTATTATTTATCGTGAGTGTCTTTTCAGCTCTTGGCCACTGCAAAATAGCTCAAGATTATATGGTTACTGTGTCTTGAACATTGTCCCTTTTCTGGATGGTGATTTACTCCACACGTGGCCCACAGAAGGGAAGGTTGAGCTAGAGAAAATGAGAAGGTTAGTCTGGATTACAGAGATTGCAGGGGGTAAGATTACCACAGGGTAATGGGGATCAATTAATAATAACGATATTGACATCTCACCTCAAGTCCTGCATCAGTGATTGTTGATCTTTTCAAGCTCACTGACCTCACACCTTTCTTGGAGAGAGGGTAGTTATCTATAAACTCACAAATGTCCAGATCAGAGACTCCAATCAGGCAGAAAGAATCAAAGCCACGGATGGCAAATCCTTGCAGGTTGACAAACTCCTTCTCTCCGTTGAGAAGGATATTGTACAACTCCTTTGCATGGAGAATGGGCGTGATGCCTTCCCAGAACTTGACCTGGTACAAGACCTTTCTCCACACTTTACACACCTGCGCCAAAACACATCTCTCGCAAGAAGAAAAGTACCAGAAGAGTCGGTTGATGATCTTCTCATCCAATATAGGCAATTGTCCTTCCATTGAAGACAGTGACAGTTTTCGTTTGGACCCTGATGGCTGACATGTACTTGGTGAGGTCTTGTTAGAGTTTGGTTCCACCAGTGGAATAGAGTCAGTCAGTCCACACAGAGATGAGGAGGGCACGTGTGCTGCCTGGGCTAGTGAAGCCAGTTCACTGTGGTTAGGTAGAGGTGGTGGGAGCACTGTTGGAATTGATGAGGACTGGCACAGTCGGTTCTTAGCGGCAGGGGTTCCTTTGGTGATACTGGCTGATCCTAATCCATTGGACTGGGCTGGAATCTTGACTAGTCCGTTCCTGGGCATGCAGGGAGGCTTGATGTCACTGGAGCTATGTGTAGACATTTCTCAAATTCGCTGCAGGCAAACCAAGACCACAGGTCAATACATGAGAATGATGAACAAAATACATTGAAATTCAGAGACGTCATAGCATGGAAACAAACTGTGGCAGCCAGAACAAATCACACTTACCCTCCGAGTTCCCATATCACTTCAAACCCTTTTCCTTTTCCCACCTATCAATGTAATATTTAATACAGACTGAAAGAACTGCGGACGCTGTAAATCAGAAAAAGAAGCAGAAATTGCTGGAAAAGCTCAGCGGTTCTGGCAGCGCCTGTGAAGAGAAACTAGAGTTAATGTTTCAGGTCTGGTGACCCTTCCTCAGAAACAGAACTGCTGAGCTTCTCCAGCATTTTTTGCTTTTTGCTGTTGTTGTTAATATTTAATACAGACCCTGGCTTCTGTCTTGATTGTTAATCCTGGAAATGAATTCTAAAGACTCATAGCTCACCGTGCAAAAGGAGTTTTACCTGTTCTCTGTTTCAACTATTCCACAGTTAGTCTTGTACCCAACTCTCTTTCATTCTTGAGCCCCAAGAATCAAGAATCATCTATTGACTTGACACCTCCACTCATTCAAACACTTCAATCGTATCACCCTGTATTTGGAATTGCTTTCACGAGAAAGATCCAGTTGCTTAAGTCTTTTTTTAATATTTGTAGTTCCTCATTCCAAGTGGCATCACAGTGAATCAGCATTGTACTCTCCCTAAGGCAATAAACGTTGTTGCTGCAGTGTGGCAGACTCAGTGGTAAACACAATGAGGCTCTTGTAAGCCTCAACAGTAACTTGTGCCTTTTACACTCTATACGTCTTGAGATAAAACATAAAATTCCATTAACTTCCATTAAAAATTTATCAAATTAAACTGATCTGTGACCCTTTTCTGACCTGGTGAACTTTTACACCTCACAGGGTGATGCTGAATTATAATGTTTGGGCCTACTCGCAGCAGGAGTTGGCAGCAAACGGGAAACAGAGTGGGTTACACCAGAGTTCTTTAACACAACCAGGGCCTCAGCTTCCTAAGTATTGGTTTCCTGACCATTGGAGCTGCGTGAGTGACTGGTGTGATGCAATGAGAGACAGAATGGATCCATTCTACAATTGTTCAAGAAGAGGGGCAACTTCACTGATAGATGTGAGAATTCTGTCCCCGGATCTTCGGGACACCTGAAGAGAAATGTTGTTCCCAGCTGATAAGAAGATGCCAGCATCTTAGGGTCAGGCAAGAGTGGCTGGAAATGACTGAGCAGCAGGAGTGTAGGCCCTTGCTGATGGGTATGATGCCATATGAGATTCCATGGCCACACCGAGGCAAGGGAGGTAGGGTAAGCATACCCCATTCAGTTGCCAAGCACCTCAACGTGAATTCCAAGCCTTCTCCATTCACTCTTCTCTCAAGACACCTTCCAGTAGACCAGCTACCTCTGACACTCACCTTTATCTTATTGCCATCGCACACCCATTCCTCACAGTTACCTCCAGTAAAATGTTGTCCTTCTAACCTCCATTCTCCATTGAAGGATGAGAGGAGATCTAATTGAGGTAAGGTGCTAAAGTGGATTGACAAAGTAGACGTAGAGTAGATGTTTCCTCATGTGGGGCAATCTAGAACAAGAGGTTCAGGATAAGGGGTGGGAGAGTTCAAATAGAGATAAGGAGGAATTATTGCTCTCAAAGGACCATGAATCTGTGGAATTCGCTATCCCAGAGTGTGGAGCACACTGGGACATTGAGTAAATTTAAAGTGGTGATAGACAGATTTTTAATTCATGTTGGGTTGAAGGGTCACGAAGAGACGGCAGGAAAGTGGAGTTGAGGCCGAGCTGAGATTGACCATGATCATATTAAATGGCAGAGCAGGCTCAAGATGCTGAATGGCCTACTCCTGCTCCTAGTTCTCATGTTCTTATGTTCTATTTCTTGCAATGATAATGTTTCTCTTTCACAGAAGAAGAGAGGGCAGAACACTGGAGAAAAGGAATGGTCTAGGGGTGGCCCCCCAGCCTTTGCCTCCTGAGTGGCAGAGAGGGTGTTGTTCAGTCGAATGTTGGAATGCAGGGCTGCTCAACCTTGGTCATTGATAGAGAGCAGCAGCAGGAACTCTGTGGTCTTTTGCCAAACTTTTCAGAGGCAGCGCGAATAATTTGAGAGTCAGCTCTCTGACAAAGGAAGCATGAGCCTGCCCCAAGCACTGATGGAGGAGTAGCACCCCACTGGAGCAATAGGAAAAGAAGCATAAAGACTTTCAGGTTTCACAAGGGGAAATCACTTGGGCGATTTTGAATGTTTGCCAATTTGTCACTCTCATTGTCAACATTTCTGCACAATTTTTGTATGGGATAAGGGTGTCACAGGCAATTAATGCCTATCCTTAGTTCTCCTTGAACTTATGAGCTCTCCAGGCCAGTTAAGAGTCACTGTAGGTCTGGAGTCACATCTAGACCAGAACAGGTAAGAACACTAATGAAACCCCAGATAGGTTTTATATCAGTTCAGTCCTGGTTATAGCTTTTACATCCAGATTTTTATTGATTTGAAATTTCACCATTTGGCTTTCAAACCCATGTCCGTAGGACATTAAACTAAAAGCAACATACTGATGTTGTTGGAAATCTGAAACAAAAACAGAAAGTGCTGCAGAAACTCAGCAGGTTTGGCAGAATCTGTCGAGAGAGAAACAGAGTTAATATTTCGAGTCTGATGTGACTCCATTTCAGTTCTGAACACACGCCTACTCTGTTGGAGCTTCCCACCTCCAACGTTCAGGTGGCCTCCTGCTCCCATGACCGTGTTAACATTTCAAGTCCAACACGACTCATCTTCAGAAATGAAGAACTCTAATTCTGAAGAAGAGTCACACTGGATTTGAAATGTTAATTCTGTTTCTGTCTGCACAGATGCTGCCAGATCCCTGCTGCGTTTTTCTAGCATTCTCAGTTTTCATCCTCAGATTGTTAGTCTGGTGTTCTGGATTACTGGTCCAGTGTCATTATCACTGTGCCATTGCCTTCTGCTAAGTATAGCTTGAATCCCCATTGCATTCTCAGCTCCATTTTTGCCACTTACCAAGCCACATCAGCCTCAAGCTGAGAGGAAGACAAGCATTTGCTGACAGCTGAAATATTGACTGAGGGAATGCATTGTATTAGAGTAATGGGGGTTCCCCACTGGGTTCAGCACTGGTGTACCATGTGGCAGCACAGGCTCCAGTTAGTTGAATCACGGCTGTATGAATCTTTCCCAGGAATTTGGGCAGGAAAGTGAGGGATTACAGGATCCTTGTCCACATCCAATCCCCCCTTGTCGTGCTACTGCTCCTCCTCTGACGATTCCATAAGACCATAACATAGGAGCAGAATTAGGCCATTCGGCCCATAAGGTCTGCTCCGCCATTCGATCATGGCTGATATATTTCTTAACCCCATTCTCCTGCCTTCTCCCCATAATCCTTGATCCCCTTGCCAATCACGAACCTATCTATCTCTGTCTTAAAGACACTCAATGGCTTGGTCTCCACAATCTTCTGTGGCAATGATTTCCACAGATTCACCACCCTCTGGCTGAAGAAATTCATCTCAGATTCAGAGTAGAGCATCCTCCTCTGCACAGATGTGGCAGCCCTCCCAAACATGGCATCGGTCACCCTGGCAGATCGCAGATTGTTAAATGTTGCAGATGGCACCAGCAGGTGATTGGAAGAAGTGGGAGCCAAGGAATCCAGGGGATGTGGTGGCAGCTGGCAGTGCACGCCATTCAAATCCACTGGCAGGAGGCTTTGTTCCAGGAGGCTTCATCAATGACCTGTCTCCTGAGGCATCGGTCATGCCTAGAAAGCTGATCCTCAGTCCCCGAGCTGGGTGCATTGCTTCCTGAAAGGTGCTTATCCCCTTTGTTCTGTGTGGCAGATGGTAGCTGAGGAGAGGGCAACAGCCGTTGCCGCTGCTGCTGTATTCCCTTCTTCTGGCCGTGTTGTTGGTGTTATCACTCATCTCTCCAGCAAAGGCACATGCCAAAGCTGCCCCCATGTGACTGTGGGGGCTGGCGACTGGGAAGTACCAGTCAAAGGCAAAAGAAGTCTCAGGCAGCACAGATGACCTAAGTTGTTTCAAAGCACTTACAACACAGAAAACAGCAGACTCTGAGAACAGTTGCCTTTCATTAATAATGTGTTTGGCTGCCCCTTCAAATGGCCCCTTTGTTCAAGAACTTTTATGCACAGGCAATAAATGTCAGCTTTGCCAGCGACATCCATATGCCTTGAAAGAATTTTTAACAAAACAAAGAAGTAACAATCATATTCTGCATTTCATGGTCAATCCTCATTGTCTATTCACTTTACCTTTGAGTTGGCACGGGAGACTGGGCATTGGCATTTAAGAAGCACAGGCCGAGGGCAAAAATGCAATTAATTGTCTTTTTGCACTTTTTAAATTACAGGGGTTTCCCACACACTTGGAAATGCATGAACAGTTAAATGTAGCAATCGCAGAGTGAGTGCCCAGATGCTCCATAGCTTTCTCCTTATAGAGGGTGATGGTTTAAATGTGGACATGCTTGTGCCCTATCTTTGGCACGTAAGGTGTGTGCCAATTTGGCTTGCAAGTAAATAAAGTGAATGAGAACATTGTTCGCTGTGAAATGTGAGTCTTAACTAACTGGTATAGGAGAGGTGAAGTGCTAAGAATCTGGTAAAGTAGAAGAAAGGCCTTTGTGCTATGGTATTTAGGGACCAGTGTGACCCTATAGATAGCATCATCCTTAAACTGAACACAGTGGTAAAAATTGACCGTGTGAGTGCTGCTTTAAGAGGGTGAAGAATGTTTTGGGTAGAACTGGGAAAAAAAGGATTAGGGTGCTCACTGATGTTAACTGGGTATTTCAGGTAGAATTGTTGAATGAAAGCAACATACTGCAGGTGCTGGAAATCTGAAACAAACACAGAGAGTGCTGGACAAACTCAGCAGGTCTGGAACCATCTGTGGAGAGAGAGTGACAGAGTTAACAATTCTGAAAAAGAGTCATACCAGACTTGAAATGTTAACCCTGTTTCTCTCTCCACAGATGCTGCCGAACCTGCTGAGTTTCTCCAGAATTCTCTGTGCTTGCTTGGGATGTTTATGTGAATTTCAGGAGCTGTGTTGGCCAATTTACTTCCATCTTGGCAGAATGAGTTTGATCCGTGGCAGCACTGTTCCAGGAACCTGTGTCTCCTGCCTTCAATGATATCATCGATAAGGACTGGCTGCCCTCATTAAGGTCTTGTACTCTTCACCAGGATTAACTTGGATTTGCCACTCTCCGAGTACAGGTAGTGTTTCAATGAGCAGAATTCCGTACAAACATAATTTGACAGTGCAGTCTCAGTGAGCAGAGGCAAGAGATTTGACGTGAAATTTCCACACCCACCTTGAAGGTTTAGAAGCTTGGGCAGAGAATGAAATTAGGCCGGACGCTGAATTTCTTTTTCCCGACATTGGGTTAAGCTTTCACTATTAACTTCTCAGAAACTTTCAGGCAGGCCAGTTTCCCATCTGTGGTTATCAAGAACCTCATCTGAACTCATTAACACATCATGAATGCTCATTAACA